TCACCTTTATCAAAAAAGTATTAAATGAAACAATGTCATAAGATTAAACAATGAAATCAACGAATGATGGTGGTTTACACGATTTGTACAAATATTAGTGGTTTGCATTTGATCGCTCCTCTATATATGTATTATGTACAGACACAAAACCCACCAAGCCTCTCACATCTCACCCTACCCCTCCCTAGGCTTTGAAACGCACCGACCGTCCAACATCTCGCCATTTTCTGTAGAGCAACCAACCACCACCATGAAATAGGGACGCAACAAGGATGAAATTAGTGGTCTAGGGGAGGGGGGACACGGCCGAAACATGTCGGTTTCAAAGGACGACATCGACAGTGGTTTTCAAGAGAAGTCGTCGACAATAGGGACGAAACAGGGATGAAATCGATCTCAACACCATCATCGTCACCGTCACCATTTTATATCATTTTTTTTCTTTCTTTTTGTTGCTCTCAATGCCACCACCGTGCACCCATGGAGAACAAACCTACTTCGACTGGTTTTGAGTTTTAAATTTGAGTTTTGTTGATTAATGTTTGAATTTGGGTTTGTTTTTTATATTAAACTAAAAAGGTACTCGCGCATTGCAGCGAGATATATATTGATTTTAATATTTTATTTTATTTTTTATGTCAGTCGATGTTATGGTATGGTCTTATGTGATTTTGACAAAACGATAATGTTTTTATTTTTGAATAAAATATAAATTTGAAGATATCATAAAAATTTCACAAAAATATATTGATATCAGTATCAAATTAACTATTTAAAATTCTTATTTTTTGTATAATTTTTTAAATCAATTTTTTTATTATAATTTAATTTAGGTTTAATAACGAAGTAATTTAAACTGATTTAATAATATAATTTTCTTATAAAAATAATAATTAATTATTTTATTAGAACTCGATAATTATCCTAGTTATATTTTAGATTTTTTATATTTTAAAATAAGATGTTTATCCTTTAATTGATTATGTTTATCCCCAGTTAGTTACTCGAATTCAAACATAGAGCTTTAATAAGTTGTACTTATGCATAATTTACTTGTAATCTTGAATTTTAAGTAATATGCATCAATATACAATACTTCATGCATAAAAGATGATTTTTTAGAATTTTTGTCAAATGCTTTATAATATAGTATAGATAGATTATGTGTTTTTAAGAAAACAATAATGAAAAAATATAAATTTGAAGATAACATAAAATTTAAAAAAAAATATATATCAATTTTAATATCAAATCAACTATTTAAAAATTTTCATTTTTTATGTAACTTCTTTAATTTATTTTTTTATTATAATTTAATTTAAGTTTAATAATGAAATAATTTATTTTTGGTTTAATAATATAACATTTTATAAATATAATAATTAAGTATTTTGTTATAACTCAATAATTATCCTAATTATATTTTAGATTTTTTAATATTTAAAATGAGATGTTTATCCTGTATTTGATTATGTTTATTTACAGTTAGTTACACGAATTCAAATATGGAGATTTAATAAGTTGTACTTACGCACAATCTACTTGTAATCTTGAGTTTTAAGTAATATGCATTAATAGACAATATTTTACGCATAAAAAATAGTTTTTAAGAGTTTTTGTCAAATGCTTTATAATATAGTACATATATAGATTTGGTTTTGAGGTATGCGTTTGATTTTGATGTTGTGGTTGGATATGGATTTGAGTTTGATTTTGATCCCTGGTTTAGATATGGATTTAGGTAGATTTTCGATCGTTGTTGTGCTTGTACGTGATGGTGTAAGATGGCTAGAAATGAGATACTCGTCGGAAAAGAGTAGAATGGATGGAGTGGCCCTAACTAAGGGGAAGAGTAAAGGGTGGGGTGCGGGGGCTAATATAATAATACAAATTTGGAAAGAAAAAAAAATTAACTAAGGACCAAAAAGCCCCTCACTTAATGGATGAGAGTTAACTACCGTTAGTGGCATGAATAAATACTGACGAAAATGTAAACTCCGAGCGCTATCTTACAATAAACAAATTCTAGGGATCAAATGCAAAATAAATTTAAAACAATAGGAACCAAATCCATAATCTATACTATATTATAAATCATTTGACAAAAAACTCTTAAAAACCATTTTTTATACATAAAGTACTGTATATTGATGCATAAGTAAATTATATTAAAAACTCTTAAAAACTATTTTTTATGCATAAAAACTCTTAAAACCCATTTCTATACTATATTGAAATTCAAGATTACAATGAAATTAGGCATAAGTACAACTTATCAAAGCTACATGTTTGAATTTGTATAACTATCTGCGGATAAACATAATCAAATAGAGGATAAACATCTAATTTTAAAATATAAAATATAAAATATCTAAAATATAATTAGGATAATTACCGAGTTTTAACAAAATAATTAATTATTATTTTTATAAGAAAAATATATTATTAAACCAAATATAAATTGTTTCGTTATTGAACCTAAATTAAATTATAAAAAAATTGAATTAAAAAATTACACAAAAAATAGAAATTTTAAATAGTTAAGTTGATACTATTATCGATATATTTTTGTCAAAATTTTATGATATTTTCAAGTTTATATTTTATTCAAAAATAAAAAAAATCATCATTTTTTCAAAATCACATAAAACCATATTATAACATCAACTGAAATAAAGAATAAAATAAAATATTAAAATCAAGATATATCTCGCTGTATTGCATGAGTGCCCTTTTAGTCTAAAACAAAAGAGGAAACAAATTTAAATGTCTACCACTTAAAAGAATTTTTTCTAACGGTTGTTAATGGGAGGAATGAAAACATTTCAAATAGCATACCATGAGTGTTTTATGTAGTAAAATAATTATAGGGACTAATTCAAGAGAACACTAAAACTAAAGGGACCAAATCCAAAATTTACTCAAGTAAAAATATAGCGTGGTTTAACCTAAAGCATATTGAGCCGTCACTATTTTCATCTCTTTCATCTCTCCTCAGTTTCAATCTTCTGTTTTGAGCTTTGATTTACCAAAATTCCTTGTAATTTCTTTCTGCAAATGCCTATTAAATCTGTTCTTCTTACGATCTTCATATCCACTTACCTTTTAAGTGTTTGAATCGGTCTAACAACATACGAATTTACGCCATGAAAGATGGAGGAACTCTCTCTGTTTCTGCAGATTCGTTTTCTTTTCACAAACCTAAGAATTATAAGATCCCATGGAGATGATTTGGCCCCTGATTGCTGGAATTGGTGGTCTCGGAATTATAGTTACACAGAAATCTCAAATCACACGGTAAAATCTAAAATCTAATCCCTCTATTATATTTTTCAATTTAATTCACGTTTATAATCATTGTTTATGTTGCATCTTCATATTATTGCTTTAATTTACACAAATGAGACTCGTATTTGAAAAATTATGACATTAACTAATCTTCTACTTCTAAAATATTCTGAAGTGGGTGAAAAAAAAATTGGGGTACGGATACAGAAATTTGGGGGTGTCTTGAGGTTCAATTAGTTCATGATGAAGCATATATGATCTGAATCTGAGCTATGGAGTGAATCTGTTTATTATGTATTTTAAAATGTTATAAAATCGTTACGGGTGTCAATTTTGTACCAAACCAAACCGATCAACATGGGAATATGAGTTGATAGATCCACTCATATATATGCTTGTTGTTTGACAAGGTTTAAGTACCGAAGCATCTCCATTCCAAGATGTTTCTGAACATTGATGATTGTGTTGGCATTTGTACGTTGGTCAAAGCAAGGTTCAGAGATATCTTCTTTATATACAATTTAATATGATGTCTTTATATAAAACATACGGTTCTGGTTCCGATGAACACAAAGTGGGATCCTAAAAGACCAGTTTTTAAAGGAAAGTAACTTACGATTAATGGGTATGCTGTAGCTGCTGTTGGGTATAGTGGTTGCTGCAACAGGAGCAGGAGGAGTAGTAGCTTACATTGGACTCGAAGGGAACTCTCATAGCAGATGGAACAAGATCTGTCATACTTATGGTTCCTTCTGTTTCCACTTTGCAGCCTCTATTCTTCCTGTTTTGGGGGGTAGGAGGCTTGTCATGGCTCTTGAAATCAATTAATGATGATTTGGAGAGTGTGTGAGTTGACAACCTAATAACACTAGATTCATCTTCAAACCCTGAAACAGAATTTGCAGATGGTGATAAAAAGTTAGAAGCTATAGGATTCAAGTTCCGATCATCACTCCTTATATGCATCAAACCATTACACAACCAAACCCACCACTCCATTGACTTCACCCCATTTCGCCATCTGTATAAGCATTGTCTTAAAGCATTTGTGTATCACTGTGTCTTAAGTTGTCCTTTTACTTGCTAATGGAATATATTTGTTCCAAACTCTGCAAAACTTCTTCACTTGAAGGTCTAAGCCTAGGTTCATTTGCAAGACATTTTGATGTGGGTTCCGCATATTTGAAAGCAGCTTCTAGGGGGTAACTCTGGCCAAGACGTGGATCCATAATTCCCTTTAGCTTGTTTCTTCTTGCTAGCATTGGCCTTTTCCATTCTACCAAGTTCTGATGCCCACGAGGTTGATTCCGGTCCATTGCCCATAGACCGGTAGAGTTTCTAGCAAGACCACTCCACAACCGTAGATATCACTCTTCGCACTCAAATGACCTGCAACATTGAAGTGTGTTGTTTAGAATCACAAAAGAGTATGATCTTTTGAATTTGTCTATTATTCGTTGCCCAATTGGGTTCCGAAGTAGAGGGATTGACTTTCGGATAAGTGCATTGAGTTTGTTTATCGTTCTTGTAAAAATTTAACTTCTAGGAACCATGATGTTTGTTTTATTATATATCTTAAAAATGCTTATTCTTATCGTCAATATTTCTTGGTTTTTTGTATGTGTTTTTGTTTTTGTATGCTTTGTTATTGAAAACATGATGGATAATGAAAACCTTGAAATGTTTGGGTATTTTTGACATAGGTATGGAATCGTATGATGAATCAATGAAACCTAAAAAATCGAGGGTTCGTTGGAAAGAGAATGTAGTAAAAACCTTCTTGGAGTGTTGTCTACAAGAGATGTCCATGAATGGAATCCAAGGCGGTAGCCTTAAGATATACTCATGAAACAATATAGCAGAAACATTAAAAAGGACTCACAACTTCATTGTCAATTAAAGACAAAAGAAGAATCACCATGATTATTTACGAGAGAAGTATGCTATATGGTCTAGACTAAGGAATAAAACGGATAATGTCTATAACCCAACAAACAACACATTCAATTTATCTGAAGAGGAGTGGAAGGCAGAAGCAAAGGTCAATTCTTTTTCTGGTTATCTAATTTAATTTCCTTATATTTTTCTTTTAGTTATATGTTTGTACTTTTTTTATATACAGTTGAGTAAATATGCTGATAAGTTAAGGAATGCACCACTACTTTATCCTAATCTTTGTATGCAAATTTTCGACGGGAGTGGCGGCCACGGGTATGGGAACTTGACCTTGGTCTAATTCTCATAACCTTTCGCGTGCTACTAATGTTTCCAACCTGCTTTTTGTTGTTGATGATCAAGGCTGGGATACCACACAAGCGCCTCCTATTTCAGCTCAAGCACTTGATTTTCGACACGACGTGCGGTGACTAAAGAAGAAAAGTTCAACCATGCACATGCACAACTTAGAAACGTTATTGAACGTGCATATGGCATCTTGAAAGCAAGATTCTCAATTCTGAAGCAAATGGCTTGTTATCCTTATCCAAAACAAATAGAGGTAGTAGTTGCTTGTTTTGCAATCCATAATTTTATAAGAAGATGTAATATCCAAGATCAACTATTCATGCAATATGATGAGAACGCCATGTTTACTGCGGAAGAGCAACATGGAGGAGGCAATGAAGAAGAACTCGTTGAAGTACAATAGGGGGCTTCTCAAAACAATGGATATATGACTAATCTACGGGATCAGATTGCGACTCAACTGTTTTCAAATACTTCAAATTAATTTTTTTGTCTAGAATGAAAAACAAACAATTTTTTTTTAGTATTAATGTTTTATATCCCGTTTGTATTTAAGTATGAACGACTATTGATATATTTTGCTATTTAATTTGAATTTTGTATGTTTGTAAAAGAAGTCTATAATTCAATTTGTTATCCAATCAATTTATTTTTTGATTGACCCTTTGACTATCAATATCTTGTCCTTTTAAACCATTTTATTGTATGATGTGTTATGTTTGATTTCAAATTAAGTTGGTAACAATGTTGTGATATGAACAGTCTCGATTAAGTTATTGACGAATTTATATATATTTATTTTAGATTAAATAGCTTTATGTAATTCATAATTTGATTTCTTTTTGTCATTCAAATTTTTTATCAAACAATTAATTTTTATTTAATACGTCAATTAAGACAAAGAGGTAAAATTGTAATTTCTATCATTTAATTGGTTTAATTTATCCAGATAACTTTATTCAAAAAACAAACAAGCATTGCGATAAATTTACTAGTCAACATCCTATGCATCTTGTCATCGTAATTATTGTGCTTTTGAATGGGATAATATTGTCGATGTTTAACGGTGTTGGTGGTGAGGGCAACATATTGAATCTTCGTATGGCGCCTTGTAACTGATGTGATACTCATCAAGTCATGATGATGGTATGTTTATGTTGTCGGTTTCTGCCCAAAGTGTCTACATCGATACTATGTTGACGGGCAAACATGGAGCCCATAATATCTGCTCGTTTTCCCCGTTGCCTTAAGCCTAGGCAATAACCCAAATGCTCTCTTATATCAAGATCGAGTACCTACAACATCAATAACCAGGTCCAAAGCGGAGGGCACCTAACATCATCATCGTTAGGCATCAGGAGCACAAAGACACAACATCGTCACAAGTACCTTGTGTTACAAAAGACACAATATCGTCACAAAATCACAAAAATATGTAAGTAATCATTGTTTAAATGTTCGACACAAGTTATATTTTTAAATGTGGTTTATTTATTGAAAAAAATGTTCAGAGAATTAATCTCTGAATGATTTTGTATCTTGGGCCTCCCTTAACCATTCTGTGCCCTAATTTCATTTTGAACAATTACCAAACAATTATATTTCATTTTGCACTATATTATAAGAGTCTCTTAATCATTCTGATCACTTAATCATTCTGCACCAAACCATTTAGCAACTGTCAAACAACCTTTTATTTATTCGTTACCCACTTCCATCTTTCGTCATATACAGGGTTTCTAAGTATGATTTTGACTATTATTTCTGATTTCATCCTCTTTATTGCAATAGGTGGTCGTGAAAGAATTGAAGGTGGAGACGCAACAGAAGGTTGTGTCATGAACTCTTCTTCACTTACATCATCAATTTCTTTTTGAGATGCAACCACTTACCTTTCTTGGAACTCTTATGGATGTCCAACATCAACCTAATCTTTAATATGTTATTCGTCAACAACACCATTCCCACGACCTGAAGCCATGCGTGAAATCTGATTCAATTCATTTTAATTAAATTCAACTGAACTAAAATATCCAATCATTTAAACCATTTTTACACAACCATATATTTTTAACATATTCAAAACTTCAACTGAAACACGTCAATTGATTCCACACGCAATATTAAACACGAACAAAGTCTCATAACAACTAGAATCAATATTTATTTTGCATTAATTGTGTTGCAATTTTTTCTCTTAAACTAGTCATATATGTTTAGTCAACGGCACTCTCATGCGATTGAAGTTGGTTTGATCATACTCAAAAAATAACTCATCACTTAAACCTTCATTACGTATGAAGTTGTGAACTGCAAAACATGCAATAACAATGTCTCTTTCAACCTCAAGTGTAAATGATATCATTCTCTCCAATATCGGAAAACGTGCTTTCAGGACACCACAAGAAGGTTCAATAATATTTCTAAGCTTTGCATGAGAATGATTAAACTTTTCATACTTGTTCAATGCTCGTCGACGACGAAAATCTCCAAGCCAATATCTAACATTACGATGCGTCGCCATAAATTCTCGAGTATTTGTATATGCAGCATCACATAGATAATATTTATCTGAAAACAATAAATAAAATAGCTATTAATATAAATATAGTAAATATATTATCTTTAAAATCATTAGTATACATGAAGAAGGAAATAGAAATCCAATAGCACCATCTGTTAAAGCTTCGAACATAACTCTTGAATCATGTGCAATTTTTTTCCATCTAGCAACAACCGAATGTAAAAACCATGTTGAAGTCACAAATTGCAAAAACATTTTCATAACATTCACCTTTTTCTCGTCCTCTATATAGATGTTGTTCTTGAATAGACACATTAATATGTATTAAAGTTCCATCAAAGGCACTAATTGCTTCTTATGCTGTTATTGCGGTCAAAATACAAAATATCAGTCGGGACTGATATTAGATATTTCGGTTATATCGGTGATACATCGGTCTAAAATAGCGACAAATACAATATTTCTTAGAATTATATATATGTATATATATATATATATATATTATGTCGCCATTGATGCATTTTGTACCCACGTCTGATGAAGTAGTATTAGTGGTAATCGGGGTCACAAATGCCTTTGAAGATTGACCCTCTTCTCTACTTTCCAAAAACTAATACATGAGTCTCAATCGTCTTGCCGTCCTTGAAATCCATGATGCTAATATATCAGCGTCTGAAGGGATCGTCAACCATGTCTCTCTTAATAATGTTGACTGCCCAAAATGTCAATGGTTGACCACCATGAAATAGGGACACAAAAAGGACGAAATTGGTGGTCTAGGGGAAGGGGGAACATGGGCGAAAAGGGTAGGTTTCAAAAGAGGACACCGACAGTGGTTTCCAAGAGAATTCGTCGACAATAGGGACAAAGCAAGGATGAAATCGATCTCATCTCATCACCATCACCACCACCATTATGTACCATTTTTTTCCCTTTTCGTTGCTCTCAATGCCATCACCGTGCACCCATGGAGAACAAACATACTTCGATTGGTTTTGAGTTTTGCTGATTAATGTTTGAATTTGGGTTTGTTTTTTATATTAAATTTGGTTTTGAGGTTTGCGTTTAATTTTGACGTTATGGTTGGATATGCATTTGAGTTTGATTTTGATCCATGGTTTGGATATGGATTTGGGTAGATTTCCGATTGTTGTTGTGTTCGTGTGTGATGGTGTAAGGTGACTGGAAATGGGATACTCGTCGGAAAAGATGTATATGTAAATTGTAATCTTCACCAAAGAAGAATGGATGGAGTGGCCCTAGCTTTCAAAGGGAAGGGAAGGCGAAGAGTAAAGGGAGGGGTGCAGGGGCTAATTTAATAATTGTAGGGACTAATTCAGGAGAACACTAAAACCAAAGGGACCAAATCGAAAATTTACTCAAGTAAAAATATAGCGTGGTTTAACCTAAGGCACATTGAGCCGTCACTATTTTCATCTCTTTCATCTCTCCTCAGTTTTAATCTTCTGTTCACGAACCCACCGTTTTGAGCTTTGATTTACCAAAATTCCTTTCTGCAAATGCCTATTAAATCTGTTCTTCTTACGATCTTCATATCCACTTACTTTTTAAGTGTTTGAATCGGTCTAACAACATACGAATTTATGCCATGAAAGATGGAGGAGCTCTCTCTGTTTCTGCAGATTCGTTTGCTTTTCACAAACCTAAGAATTATAAGATCCCATGGAGATGATTTGGCCCCTGATTGCTGGAATTGGTGGTCTCGGAATTATAGTTACATATAAATCTCGAATCACGGTAAAATCTAAAATCTAATCACTGCATTATATATTTCAATTTAATTCACGTTTATAATCGTTGTTTATGTTGCATCTTCATATTATTGCTTTAATTTTGCACAATCGAGACTGGTATATGAAAATTTATGACATTATTATCACTAAAACACTACATTAACTAATCATCAACTTCTAAAATATTCTAAAGTGGGTGATAAAAAAATCGGGGTACGTATACAGAAATTTGGGGTTGTCTTGAGGTTCAATTAGATCATGATGGAGCATATTTGATTTGAATCGGAGCCATGCAATGAACCTGTTTACTTTGTATGCTTGACTGTTTTCGTGCTTCAACAATTCAACGTTAAGATCATGTGCTTGCTATTGCTGTATATTTTTGTTGAATATTTTTATCAATTTATGATTCTATTGACTATTGATATTTGGTTATGTTGTTCTAATTGTTTTTGTTGACTATTGTTATCTATATTTGCTTCTACATAAAATATTTTATCATTGTTTGACAATTAATCTATTGTTCTGATAATTTATGATGTGTTTCATGGTTTTGTGATTAATCAATAATTTTTTTTACTAGATATATTTAGTAATGGCTCTTATATATGTCATGTCCCATAAACTTTTAATCCTAACATCTTATTTTACTTGAGCAAAAAAATAGCATTTAAATATTTTCATCAATTGTTTGACTTATGTATCTTTCATTGGGATTCCACCACACGAATTCTATTCAAGTGCTCAAACAATTATTTGTTGAGTTTGCAGATTATATGTTTAATTCATTTATCTATTCTTATTGGATCTCAATGGATCATCTTTTCTTTCATATTCTTATTGATCCTCATTTGTCTACTTGTCTAGAAAACCTTGATAATCTTCTTTATTATTGATCTCTCATTAACCCTCACGATTAATTCATTCATACGAATTCTCTTTTTGTATCAAAATAACACATATTTCTTGTTATGAACTAAAAAACTTCGTACTTTTTATAAAAAATTATTAATCATAGTTTCTATACTCTTTGATTCAAATTACTTAACAAGAAGCACGTAAACTTAAGTATTCTCTTATATATCTATAATAAAGATAAATAAGATTTCTTTCCTCAGTAAATTATTAGCATATCTTGTACTCAATTTTATACTAATGAAAAACATTTATTGAATTTTTTTCGTACTTACCGAAGGTCACTACAAAAAAGTGAGCTTTGATGATGCACCTTTTAGCGATGACATGTTTCTGCCACAAGTTATGGCAACGACATGTTGTTATATACTCTTTTTGATGATAAATGAACTTTTAGCGATGGACAAAAATCGTTGCTAAAAGC